CTGCATTGTCTCAGTCCACCCAGCTGTAATGGGTACCATCTTATGCTGGCTTGCCAGACAGGGGTTTGTCTTAAATGGACTGTCGTAACCCACCCATGGGGGACTCAATGACTCATCCACTAAGCATCAATGAAAAAAAAAAGATATGCACACTACATGACCTTATGAGCCTCATTACTTGCAGAAAAACAAATTTCTTAACATTTATTTGTACATATTTACTCTGTAAGTGTTCTTTATATAGAATCGACACATATTATATGTACAAACAAATTACAAAAATGCCATATGCCATGCAGCACAGTAACAAAGCCATATACCGTAGTCCCTTAAATTGGTATAATTAATTGCAAAAATTGGCCAAAAATTTGAACCTGGTTCTAATTACATACCAGATTACTTTGACTTATAATGGAAAGAAATTTAATTTACATGCATTTACATGTACTATGTTTTCATTGTATATGGAATGAAGCATAAAAAATATTTATGAGAAACAGCAATGATTTAATGAAGGTGTTAATTGTATGTATTAACTTTGTTTAACATAAATATATTTTTTCCAGGAAAAAATCCCATTACATTTGCACTGTACACATGCTATGAAAAATCAAATGATCAAATACATAGAGGGATTTAGGGGTAAAATGATAATATTCTCTATCTGAAGGAAAAAATGAACTCTATAGGCCTGCCTTTAAATTGAACATCTATTCCCCATTTTCAAAAGTGAGTTATCTCCCCTCAAAATCGGAACTCTTCTACACTAGCCTAACTTCCGCGGACTACGCAATACGATAATCCAATAAAATAGTGATCAATTTACACGCTGTATTTAAAAATTTTAAAAGAAGGAAACGGTTTGCATTTTTTTAAGATAATAAATTATTTTATAAAGGATCTGTTAGCCCCCCCCCTTTCTAGAAAGCTATACGAATTAGCCAGACACGTAGCATCGTCTTTAAAAGTGGGGGGGGGGGGGGGTAGCCAAAGAAATATTTTTTTCTTACCTGGAAAAGTTGACAAGCAAAGAAAAACTTTGCCCAATGTTGAAAAAGCTACTTATTTCAGTACCAGTTCCTTGGCATACAATACTACATTTCCCTTATATAACTTTATAGTATTAACTGTGTGTGTGTGTGTGTGTGGAGGGGGGGGGGGTGGCAACCTGTCTATCGAACATTTTCAATAGAAAAAGTAACATTGGGACGAAAGTGGGGTTGGGGCTAAGCCCCTTGACCCCCCCCCCCCCCCCCCCCCCCCCCGTGCGTACAGACAGAGAATGAATACTAGTATGTAAATGGGTTGAACAGTTGAATATGAACCATAGTTGTGAAAATTAAAAATTATTAGAATTATTGTGAATTCAATAAAATTACGTTACATATATTTTTTTCACAGATGTACATGTATGTCAGTTACACGGGGTTGCATCAGTCTCTCTCTGTCTCTCTGATATTGTTTTTTACACACTTTGCAAAAAAGAATAACTTATGAAAATAAATAGATGTACTTACACTGAAAGGATTTAAAAAAGATAAATAACACTTGAGAAAAGAATGTTTTCCGTTAATTAACGAGAAATACGCTAGGAAATTATTGTATCAATTTCGTGTTTCTGCTCTCAATTCTCTGATCTAAAACAAGATGTGTATTTTACTCGGGAATATACATGTACATATGCTTAGATCCTTCTCTAAAACTTTGATTAAATGCAGCTCAGACTTTATACGACATATGTAACACGAATTCAGGTCAATGCTATTTTAATTAGTCTTTCTTCGTTAGATAAGGACATGAGATTAAATCATTCATTTAGAATTCCATTCAAAGTTTTAATACTATATAGTGAATCAATTATTTTACAAATAAAAAATTCTACAAACACTGTTAATTCAAATGAAATAGGACTTTAATTGTCACCAAATGTGTTCTTGTAAGTAAAAGTTCTATGTTATGACATACAATCGAGCAAAAAACGCAGTGCCTTGGTAACTGCTGTATATGCAGCAATTTCAGAGATGGACATGTCATCAGTCACCAAAAAATTCCTAGAGATACAAAGAAAATATTGCTGAAGCAGGCTAGATTAATTCGTAAAAACTTTATAACTAAAAATTTGTTCCGCACATTTTGTAAAAAATGATGAAATATCCACTACCGAAATTTAGCTTATTAGTTTTTTTTAATAGGCCTATTCGAATATGTATCAGCATTTTATCAGTAATTTGTTTCATTTTTTGTAAGGGGGGGGGGGGGTCACACAGCACCTTATTATAGTACTACACAGATTAATACAAATCCAGAAAGAGACTATGAGTGGGCAATTTGAAAAAAATACGAATCAGTTAAGATTTCTTTTTATTCACAAACACAATAACATTTTTCCATATGACAGAGGCATTACGCCATGAACATGTTTACATCAAGAACGTCCGCGGAAGTGACTTTATTAATAGCGCATGCGTATTAAACACAGTAAAAGAGTTCCCTTCAGGGGAAATAACTCACCTTTTGAAAATGGGGAATAATTGCAAAATGCTTATGGGATGTACATGTTAGTCCAATGGAATAAAGAAATGAACTGAAAAAAATACAAATGATTGGTCAGTTTACTATATTACCCAATATTTAATAAACAGTTGTGGTGTGTAAAGTCATTAAATATTTTGTTAATGAATTGAAAATAAAAGAGTCATTCATTTGTGTATCAATGAGAAAAAATTGAATAGAATTTATGTGTCTTTAAAACTTATCCAATGTTCAGTTTATTTCTATGAGTGAGCTTATACAAAGAAATAGCATTTACACCTGCATTTAAAAAAAAAATTCTCCAATATTATGTTGAGGTGAAAGCAGGTACAGAAAAATACAGTTCAATTTATGTTCCTAGATAGCCTTTAGTGTTAATTGTCTCTTTTTGAAAGTTACATGAAATATTGCTAAGACAGTTAAACAAGCATACCTGGAGATCTGCAGGTATCAAGATCACATGACAGGAAGATTTCATTGCTTTTGTGTGGATGAGTAAATTATTGATCAGACCTCTCAATCTCCTAATTGATTGTTTGATAAAGAAATTGATTTTTTCTGGGTTTTGTAATCTTGTGTGGCAGTTTGCTGGCAAACATCTGTGTAGTGTGTTCAGAGTTTATCATTGTACTCAGGATTTATTATTACGACACATACAGTATATACAGGCTTAGCTGGTCATGTGACTATTTTCTGTGACGTTTTTTAATTGTATACATATAAGGCACATTGCCCACTGGTAATCCTTCCTTTAAATAGAAGATTTACTTGGCTGTGGAGGTCTTAAAACATTAAACCGAACACCTTACTGAAGTGAAACTTTATTGGAAAACTTATACAAGGAAACACAAACATGTCTGGAAGTGTAAAAGTCGCCAATGAACAAGCTACAGATCTGAAAAGAGAGGATGTGTTACATGCCGCGAAGAAGATGATGGGGAGGGAGTTCCAGCATGTGCTGGCCGCCCTCCTCAAAATCCTCCCTGACTACGAGGATACTCTGGTAAAGTCACAACAAATTCTCTTCCTCATCTCTTCTTTAGCTGTTTTATATTTTATGTACTAAAAAGTGTTAAATGGACATTTCTTGCATTAACATTAGAAACACATGCATGCATGTTTATGTTTTGAATATAATACCTATGACAAAATTTAGTTGGTAATATAAGGATTAAAGATAGTTTTTTTACACTGATATATGCTTTATATGATATTCTATTTGTCAGTTATATGTAAAATTTCATAAAACATGGCATTTCAAAATGTCACTTGAGGAGGTTGACTGACAGATTTAATGTGCTGTATGTATGAAAACCATCTGTTGCTTATGTTAGATCAGCTAGTGTATATGCCACAATAAGTATGAGTTAGGATTGGTTATTTTATCATTTTTTCAAAGATTCCAAAGTTCATATTCATAGGCTCTTGTGAAGAATTTAAGACATGCTTGTTTACTGTTGACATAAGGTAAATGGTTGTTGCCTGTTTCCTTGAATTTGATTGGCTGATATAGGTGGGTGCGTCTCGATCATTGTTCAATGCAATATTTCCACATCTCGGCAGAGCTGACGCAAGGAAGTATTGATTAAAGAAAACGCATTCAATATTGATGTAAAACATGCACACACACTCTCTCATGATCCAAAATTCTTGCCAAGTTGCTTTATTTTATTATGCCAAGCAGATAATTGTGTGTTTCATAATCTTAATTGCATTCTGATATATATATGTAATGTTGTGAAGTGTCAATGTCTTAAAAGATATTGCTGTTTTTGGAGTCCCAGAAGTTTGCATGGGTTGATACTATAAATTCTTTTTTTGTTTTTGCTTCACTGCATTTTCTATTCAAGAAAAAAAGATGAAATTATAGATAAAATGTGATCCTACTTTAAGATACTTTAAGGGCACACCTAATGTGAAATTAATGTACTTGAAATAAATCTGTTTGAATTGAGGCAGAGTTGAATGACAAGGGGAAAAATGTGTTATGAAATATCAACATAAAATGTACCAAAAATATTTTCATTATTTTAAACTGTTTCTCAAGTTTCAAATTTTCAAAGAATTATTCATGTGTATTGTGACACACAGTAGTAAAATTTTAATATCTTGTAAAAGGTTGTATTTATGTACTGTACACACACAACTAGAAAAACTCAATATTCTTGACCAGGAGTTGAATTAATATCTTTAGATGAACTCAGTTTTCAGAAATTTAGTTTAATTACACTGTAAAACTGTAATTTATTAGATACATATACTACGTTTGTGATATTTACAATTATCGTCATCTAGCTTTGACGTAAAGAAGTGGGTTTATCGAGAACATAGATGAATTATTCGACTTAGGATGTAATGCTTCCTGTTTATATGACAAGCCTTACAGTACATGTTATACTTAGTCCTGTCTTAAGTGTACACACATGTGTAGCTAAAATTTAAAGTCACTTTAATACCCTTGGGATGTATTAAACTGTATATTTTGGATATCTGCTTTGTAAGACCTGAAATGTCAATAACTGAAATCGGCAAAGGATCAACATTCTGTACGGTTGAACGATTTTAAATACATTGCGTCATCATTTCAGGGAACTGATTTTTAAAAGCTTTTTTGGGTGTTATATCAAAAAGGAACTAGCAAGGTGTACTTGGTGTCGAATTCCTGAAACTGTGGTTTGTTTTGGTAAATTTTAATGATAGTTCATTCCTATTGATATAAAAACCAGGAAGTCTAAATGTATAACTGAAATGAATCGTGATTTGTGACTAAATTTGGACATTCCACTTTTACAAGGAAGGAATGCCGGGAACAGCAGATTTACTCCCCAAATCCTCCTCCAAACGGACTCGTACGGTAAAAGCACGTCTTCGTGTTTCTGATTTTATATTTCTGATTCCATGTTCCAATGCCCGGTGTTTGACTCTGAGGGTTTATATTAGTTTTTTATTTCCTTTTTGACTGTTTTTAACCTGTTTACTTTCAGTTTTATTTACAATGTTTATCTTGACCATTTTATCTTTTCTTCTTTTGGAGCTTGTTATTTCAAACACAAATGTGGGTACAATTGAACCTACAAAAGACTTTTCAAGCATAATCAGTTACAAGTATTTTTTTCTGCAATTAATTGGTCTCTGGCCAATATGATTTGCCAAAAAACCCAGACAATAATAGAGATTAGCAATTGGAAAACCTTATCAATGGAAATGCATGCAGGTTTCATTTGTGTGTGCAAATAATGTAAAAGTCAGGTACATTTGTACTTGTTACATATATAAAGGACAGTTTATTTAGACATTTATTTTGATTGCAGAGAAAAAATTAAGAGATAATTTAAAATGGATTGTATAAAGAAAGCAATCCAGAATAAATTCCTACCTTTAAAATAGCATATTTGATGAAAGAGAGGTTAATTATTATGCATGTTATGGCTTACAGTGACGAGAGAGTAGAACTTTTTCTGGATGTTCTGTAACTCATTAAGGAGATTACTGGCAGACTGCCAACCTATACCAGATCAATATATAGCAGCTAGAAATTCCTCTGTTTATTTGCGAAGGTCACCCTGCCAGGACATCTCTTGTATCTGTTCTGTAGCGAGGGGATCATGGAGTCTTAGATGGGGGGTCAAAGTGCACCTGTTCTCTGTCAGGCAAGATATGTGCAGTGCAGTGTATAGTAGATTCTTCGGTATGTGAACCGGATATTGTTTATGACTAACCTTGCGCTCCAAAGTTCATTATTTGTAAACCATGTTGCCAGAGACAAATGCTCAGGTACCGAAGCCCGGTCCGAAAAAACCAGCCAGGAAACGGTCAACCAAGTCTAAGGACCGGAGTCCGGCCACTGTAAGTTCTCTCCACTAGGTCATTGAAGGTTAGCCACTGTGATAAAGGAAAAAGATATGACTGTGTGTAGGCCGGTGAATTTGTTGTTGATTTATAAGTGTACTGACAAGAAGAGTTAGGGGAGTATGTATAGTTATTCCAGGTAAAACTCATTAACTATCTAAAGTACTAGACAAGAATACATTTGAACATGTTGAAAGATGAAAATGACCTAATTGACCCAGGTGGAGTTTTTTGGGGAGTTTTTTTAATGCACTTGTTTACCTGTTGTTTAGTTTATCTGATGTAATTGAATTTCAGTGTGTCAACAACTCTCCTAGGATTTTGGGCAATCCTTGTGTCCCAGATTTATAAGTATTTTTGAGTTTATGCTTCTTTGGAGGTCTAAACGTGTTATAAATTACATTTACTACAGGTAAACCCCAGGCCCACTGGACAGGAGGTGTTATAAATTATACTGGTACAGGTAAACCCAGGGGCCACTGGCCTTGGCTTTTGGGGGTCACTGAACAAATTTTTAGGACATCCACTTTGGGGGTCTAAACTCAGGTGCTGTCAGATTCTTTGTCGCTGGATTAATTATTGTACTGGCATTATTTATGTCTTGTGTCATGTGAAGAAGGGGTCAGTGTGTATTTAATGAATCCATTCAATTAATTTTTAACAATAAGTTGTAAGATATGAATTTATACTAAAACTGAATGAAAGTTAATGTATATCTTTTGATTGTAATACATGTACAAAATGTCATCACTTTTGAAGAGAAATTAACCTTTAGTTGTGAATCATAGTCACACAAGTAGATGTTTATTTACTAATATGCATAACTTCCAGAAGAGCAGTGATTAATTAAATTCTTGCTAATATTCAAATCCAACCTCATTAGCATTGGGAACCTGTCTTTGCATATAAATTTCTAGTTGTGTACAAATTCAATGATTGTGTAACTGTTTACAAATTCGGTGATTGTGTAACTTGAAAGCCTTTGAAGTTCTTAGCGGAACTGTGTTGACGTAAACAGATTGTTGTTATTTGTCATGTCACTGCCTTTCCGTTCCTCAGGGTGTCTGCGACATGCAGTCTCTCGGCTATAATCGTTTCTGCATTACTTCTGGTGATTCTTGTCGCAGTCATTCTTTGATAAAGTACCATAATCGATACTCGCATTCATACCACAGTTAATTGATCACCGAATCTACTATTCCAGACTTTTCTTGCAGTATTCTCATTGATTACTCGAGAGAAAAATTAGAGCAGGCAAATTCATCAAGTCTAGAGGCTGAGAATGAGATATTCTTAGCTGTTTTGCTGTTGAATAATGGTTCTTTGGAAGTCAAGCATAAACATTTTTACAGCTTTAAATGTTAAAGAAATAAACATTTACATCAAATAAAACTTAGTGTATGAATTGCCTGAAATCTTTCCATGTAACATAAGAGAAAAATACCAAAATCTTTGTGCTTATGTACAGTTCAATGAAAATTCATGTTAAAGACAGTTCAATGCCAAATTTTCATTTTCAATTACAATCAAGGTCCTTATATATATTTTAAAAATATGTTTCTGTAATGGTCATGAAAGTGGCTGTTCTTAAGTTACCTATAAGACTGTGTAAGAAAGTGTTTGAATGGTTTTCTTTATCTTTTTAGGTAGAAAACCTTGTCAGACCATTTATTCTTAAAGATGAAGACTACAAGCACCTCATGGATATCATGTTACAAGAATTTAACAAGGGACTGGGCAAAGACACCAACCCCACAGCCAAGGTCAAAATGTACCCCACATACGTCAGGGACGTCCCCGATGGGTCAGGTAAGGCTAGATATCATAAATTGGGGGTGTTTAACAGACCTCCACAAACAATAAATTGTATAGATAGAAAAAAATTTATAAATATTGATAAAAAAGGTTGTTTTAATTGATATAAAATGTAAAGGGGGTAGAGATACATATAGAAGACCCTATACATGTATATAGAAATATAGAGGGTCTTGGAAGCAGCGTTGAAATTTGGGGTATATCTGGAGAGAAAAAAATTCTTTGAAAAGAATACTGTACTTGATAGAAAATTTGGGAGAGGGGAAATCTCAAATAACTTTTCCTTTTTTACTTCCTAGAAGATGGGACTTTCCATATTCTCGGAAATAAAATATTTGAAAAAAAACATACAAGAAGATGAGATACATCAAGATTTTATGAAAGGGAGGAAATACACTTGAAGATATGAACATGTTTCTACTAGTTAGCCTCTTTTGTATTTATCTTCCTTTTAGACTTGAGCTTTTTTTACGTATTTGATATTCAGACAAAGTACGTTATATTTATAAACTTTATTTCAAGCAAATGCATGTTAAATATAGTGCTCTAGTTATTTTATGCCCAAGAATGTGGTTCATAGATCAAGGAGGACATATTTTTCAAATGTAATTTGTACATCATATCGTCATTCATTTGAATCCTTTTATGCAATCTGTTGATAGTTCCATTTTGTTATTTAGAGGATGGAAATTACCTAGCCCTGGACTTGGGGGGTACAAACTTCCGAGTGTTGTTAATTAACCTTAATGGTCAGGAAGTCACCATGGAGAGCAAAATCTACCTTATACCCCAACACATAATGACAGGAACCGGTGTACAGGTTAGTACTTAGTACTACAGCACCTAATGACAGGAACCGATGTACAGGTAAGATCTTAGTACCCCAACACATAATGACAGGAACCGGTGTACAGGTTAGAACTTAGTATTACAGCACATAATGACAGGCACCGGTGTACAGGTAAGAAGTTAGTATTACAGCACATCATGACAGCCCTGGTGTACAGGTAAATACTTAGTACCACAGCTTATTATCCTGTGATATTTCATTGAGCAGATTAATAGATTGGTGTTAGATTTTCGTATTTGCTAGGACTAAGAAATAATTTCTTTGTCTTTTTTACAGCTATTTGATCATATAGCAGAATGTATCTACAAATTCATGAAGAACCACAATCTCCTAGACCAGAAGATTCCCCTGGGTTTTACGTTCTCCTTCCCCTGTAAACAGATGGGTTTGAACCACGCCGTTCTGACGCAGTGGACAAAAGGCTTCAAGTGCGAGGGAGTGGAGGGGGAAGACGTGGTCAGACTTCTACACGAGGCCATCAAAAGGAGAGGGGTACGTGTACACTGAGGGGTGGGGGGATCTGTCAAAGGGAAATCTTAAATGTTTAGGTGTTTTAGCTTGTCTGAGCTGAGGTGGCCCAAGGGTTCTTATTTTTAATGTGTCAAAATTACGCATGAAGTAGAGTAAAGGCTATTTAATTTAATCAGGAATTAGCCTACTTCATGTTTGTGTATTAATTCTTTGTACTTAAATCTCTTAATTTTGATTTAAAAATAATTAATGCATTCACGATTGCACCAGATTTGCCTTTACATAAATACAAGGTTTATAATTACATTGTATTTGAAAAGATGACCTTCAGTTTTCAAAACATTTTTCTGATGTTGCAATTAAAAACAATGTCATAATGGTATTAAATTTAAGCTGTATAGATATTTTGTTTTGGGGTCCTTGTCAATTGATGGTATGTAGGTATTTTCTATTTTGGTCCCGTATTTTGACAGGATTTAGACGTGGAATGTCTAGCTGTGATAAACGACACGGTGGGAGCCCTGATGTCCTGTGCCCACAGTGACAGAGAGTGTGCAATAGGTCTTATTCTAGGTAAGTGTATCCCCCTCCCTACCCCCACCCCCTACAACACACACGTAGTGACAGAGAGTGTGCAGTAGGACTTATTTTAGGTAAATGTATCCCCCCTCCCAAACCCCACAACACACACATAGTGACAGAGAGTGTGCAGTAGGACTTATCTTAGGTAAATGTATCCCCCCACCCCCACAACACACACATAGTGACAGAGAGTGTGCAGTAGGACTTATCTTAGGTAAATGCATCCCCCCTCCCTTCCCCCCACCCCCCAATCTCCCCTCAACCACCGCACCTCCCCACCTCCACACATACACACACATTTTCTTGAGCAGAATCTAAATTCATGCATTTGTCACACCAATTTTTGTCTGTGAAGGAGACAACATTGACTGATGGGTTACTGTAAATGTATTGTATTAAACGTGTACAATATTTGGCGGAAATTGATTTTTGAACAAGTTAGCGTAGATTTGATTTAGCGGATATCTTAATGATATTATTTATGTGTATATTTACAAAACATTTAGCGTTGTACTTGAATTAGCAGTTCCTTTCCGCCAAAAAGCGCAAAAAAGAATACACACTCAGCCAAATGTAATATGTTTACAGTAACTGCAAGTGGTGTAACATTCTTTTAAACATGTGAAATTTTTTATTTAGTCAATAAAACACCTCCAAGGCTTGCACTTTGACAAAGTGGGACAATGTTAAAAAATGTTAGACTAGGAAATTCCACTAACAGCTTACATATTCATTGTACATTGTAATTTTTTTTTTGATCTTTCAAGAATTACTCAAAAAACAAATGTAAGCATCAAACATTTATCATTATTCAGTAATTTGCGACATTAGTCATAAAAAGAGAACCATAAAATATATATTGATATTTTATGAAAAATCAATACATGATTAGAGCAGTGTATCTTGTACATAATGCATATGCACTATAAGCCATTCATCTCTACAGAATTCTCTATGAAAAAAATCCAAGATTGTCCTATACAGGGTCTATATACGGCATTTGTTTTGATGTCCTTTATTTATATAAAAGTGAGAGCCTGCTCTATCTTTGGGCAGCTGTTCACATCTACCTACTCGTAAAATTGTGACGTACATTTACCTCAGCCTGTGTATTGTCAGAAAATATAAAGCTACATTGATCCATTTCTCGTTAACATCTGGTGTCATAATACACATTTTGTATGTAGGGTTTAATTTGTGTTATCCACAGGCTGACTTCAAAACCCATTGTGCCCTTTCTGAATAAACAAATTCATGGAAACAAAAGAATAAGGAAATAAGATATAAATAAACAATATGTTTTGTTTTGTGTTTTTTTCAGTACACCCCAGATCAGCTGACTGGTGGTGACCTCTATTGGTTGTTTTTGTTTACATTCTTATCATTCAATTTTTAAAAAATTTCCCGAATGAGACCGAGCGGACCATTAATTTAAAACATTAAATTACGCAGTTAATATTGATACACTTGTATTTATTAGTCTCCTGAATATGACTTCCTCACTAAAAAACTTTTCCTGAAGAATGTTTTTTTTTAAATTCATTAATGAAAACCAGTAAGTTCACTTTAATGATGTTCTGTTGTATATGGACACAGATCCGAGAAATTCTTATCATCAGAGATGAAACAATGAAAGCTTTTAAAATTTGCTCTCTGGTGAAATTTTTTTATCACTAAAATAGGGAATAATGCCCCTCCATACACACATAAAAATAAATTTTGTTTTCAAAAAACATCTTGTAAAGATATAAATATTGAGTTGACCACTATGAAATAAAGTAGTCAAAAAATAAAATGCTAAGAATATTTGAATTGAAGGCAAATTGATTAATGCACCATAGATCAAAGGGCAGATCACTCCAACTGCATAAAAATACCACAGAAGTCAAGCTGTGCAAGTTCTAGAAGTTCCTTTAGTTTTTTCATAGCAAATCACCTGTTATGGCCCCCTTTCAGAGAAATCTTTATTCCCAATTAAAACCAAGCAAACACAAATTCTCCTTTTTGCACTGATAAATTGTCAACATAGGTAGGCTAATTACTAGAGAGAGGAGAAAAGAAATGAAGAACACATGCAGTGAGAAAATGTGTTTTTATTCTCTACAGAAATTACTGAATACTTGTCTTCCAAAGCCATTATATAATGTTTTTTTTTTTTGCCTCAACCTATTGATAACATTGATAGTAGATTAGTTTGCTGTCATCTTTAACTTTGTACTCTGATTTCAGGAACAGGAACTAATGCGTGTTACATAGAGAAATTAGAAAATGTGGAATTGTGGGATGGGGACGATAAAGAACCCAGACAGGTATTTAATCTTGCACAGATAAAAAGTTATTTATTTGCATTATACTTTCTAGGTTACATTACAAATACCTGTAACTGTTTGATAATAATGGAGAATTCTAGAAACATTGAATTTTATTTACAAATTATTTAATATTGTTTAATCTATGTACTATTTTGCTTGAATTTGCTATAAAAATTATTATTTTCATCAAGGATTGTTGACCTAAGATTATATACATAATGATATACAAGATAATATAATTTTTGTAAGTTAATTGTTCTCGTTGCCCAGGTAATGATCAATACAGAGTGGGGAGCTCTGGGGGACGACGGGTCTCTGGACTTCATCAAAACCGAATACGACAAACAAGTCGACAAACACTCCATTAACCCCGGCAGGCAAACGTAAGTCAGGGGTCAAGGTCACACAGCTAAAGTAGATGTCTGATCTTGTCAATTAAATCAATTTTATGACATTCACATCATTGTACATACATGTATCTTAATTTTTTTCAAGTGTGCAGTAAGATAAAATATACATCTAGATTTCTGTATGTCCACCTGCATTTTTACAAAATTTTAAATTGTTTAGTTACTCTCTGTGTATATTAATATATGTGTTTTTTCTTCAGATATGAGAAAATGATTTCTGGTATGTACATGGGAGAAATTGTGAGACTAGCTCTTGAAAAACTACGAAAGAGTGATCTTTTATTCAAAGGAAAAGGATCAGAAGAATTATCCACTAGGGGGCGCTTCTACACCAAATATGTATCAGAAATTGAAAGGTAAGAGTCAGGATATTGCATAACACTGAAAGAAAGTAAATAATGGTATTTTTAAGCAATCTCTGTTAATATTCAGGGAATTATAATATTAGCTCTCATACCTTATTCAAAAGTTCAAGTGAGCTTTTATGATCAAAGTTTGACTTCAGGTTGTACATTTAAACAAAAAATAGTTGGTAACAGTCTCAGAGAGAGATTTTTGTCTATTCCTTTGTTTGGACAGTCGTGCGACTCAGGTGAACTCTGCGGACTTAGAGCCTATTGTTTCTTTATCAAACTAATTCAGCTCATTTATTGAAGATTTGTACAACTTTCTGTTTTGTGAATTTCAGTGATGTAGATGACCACTTTAAGAACACCAAACAAGTGTTTGACGAGTTAGGACTTGAGAAATATTCCGATGAGGACTGTAGGATCGCCCAGTACGTGTGTTCTCTGGTCTCAACGAGGGCAGCCTTCCTAGCATCTGCTGGTACGTACGCTCTTATCAGGACCCTAGACACAATGGAGTTGTCTGATATACAGTATAGATACAGGCACTGTATAATGAAAAAAGTTGAAGAAAACATCATTCAATCTCCAGGGCTCAAAATTAACATTCATCCAGCTCATTTTGTGATTGGAAAAACCATCTCCACAAACAAGTGTGAATAAAATTTCCACAAAAAGTTTTTGGTCAAGTAAACTTTGTAGGCAACTTGTTCAAAGGACGAGTGGATATTTTTATCAATATTTAGCCATAATCTCCTTATTTAGCAGTCACATTCACTTGTTCACTCAGAAGCCAAAGGAACGTATTGAAAATGAAAATGTCAGATTAACACAATTGTGTACTAGATCGAGAGACACTTTCTAAATTTTAGTTAATCTTTCTGGTCTAACACGTCCTTATATCTAAAGTTTAACATTCTTCTGTAGGTGTCGCCACTCTTTTGAACAAAATGGATCGACAGGATGTGACGGTAGCTGTTGATGGTTCCTTGTATCGCTTCCATCCTCATTTCCACGATCTCATGGTAGAAAAGATCGAGCAACTCGTCAATCCAGGAATCAAGGTACAACAAAAAAGATAACCTCATTTTTAACAAAAAATGGATGTAATTTGAAAATGGAGATAACAAAGTCTTTGTTGGATGAGTGCATAAATAATATTTGTAAACCAAGATATTTTACATGTAATTTTCAATACTGAGAAGAAAATCTAGTGCATTTATTTTTAATTGAGGTTTATTAATCTGATATTTGTTAAATTGTAGTTCAAACTGATGTTGTCTCATGATGGAAGTGGAAAGGGGGCGGCCATTGTAACAGCTGTGGCTCATAGACTACGAGAAGCTGAGAAAAGTAGTATAGGACAAAATGAGATAGAAAACTGAACATTTCATCTCTGTTACCCTCGTACTTCTTAAAACACAAACCAAAATCAAACTTTATAGGTTTACGTGGGAGGATCCTTTCCTGCCAGTATTTGTAGGAAATGGATCGCTTCCCATTATCCTATATCTCAAATGACACTGGTCATGTTGTCGACTTTTTGTCAAAGGGTAAACTTGCTTTCATTTTTGGAATTTTAAGGGATACCCATGCAAAGGCAATTATTTTCTGGAACTGTAATGCTGTTAAAATTAGTGATAGAAGAAGCAGCAAAATTTTATTTTAGCTGGTATGTTAGCTATTAAAAAGGGGTACATTCTGTGGTTCTTAGAACTCAGTTGTTATGCAAAAAATGAATACAGTTGCTTATATGAGCAGTGTACTTCAATATAGGAATAAAGAAAAGCATAATAAAGTTTGCTTTAGTTTGTGAACAGTTAAACCAAACTTCAGATGGAAGTGTTTACATTGTTTTTACTTTCAACCAAAATTCTGTGTTATTTATATATTTTTAATGCCATTTTTTTTTTGTTCAACCATTGCTATACATATATTTCATGATATTGGAAAAAAAAAATTTACACTAGCTGCTTTTATTGAGATTGCAATATTATTTCCTTTTGATTAAAGAAGAGGATACTTGCTTATAACAAACAGAGAGATAGATAAAGAAAATGTCCAGAGGAAAAAAAAAGAATACTTTGTCACGTCCATGTACTTAACATTCATATAAGTATAATAGAAAGGAACAAGCTTTTTTTCTATTCAATCTGAACTTCAGCCTTTCAGGTTAAAAGTCAAAAGTCTTTTGACTCAATGCTTTTCAGCTCATTGTTGACACACATTTTTTTATGTGTCTTATATTTCATGTCATGTCTGTGCTTCTAAATGCATATAAAAGTAGAAAATGAAGTTATTTTTCATTTTGTTTTTTGAAATTTTGGCCAGAGTGCTTTCGTTACCTCCATAACTGGTTTGCTTTTACTGTGAATAAGAATAGTAAACTGAGAGGGTGTTATTACTATAACACCCATCCTTGGTCCATTGTACTGTTTGTGGTTCATTGTAGTCTTTTCATCGCACTGTCTTCTACAGAATTCTTCATTGGGGGCATTAAATATTGTAAAGTATTTAATTTGAAATCTGTAAATTTTTCTTATCTTCCAATGAACTTTTCATGAATTTGAGCAATTTCAAAGATTGTATTTTTTACAAAGTGTTAAATTATGTTATGTATGATATGTTTTATCTCTTACTTTATTATACTTGCCCCTCTCACCCGCTTTCAGAGATAAAACATTACTTTTCATTTCTTCATGCCTGCTGTGTGTTCATTGGTCAAGTCATCAGTGGTGGCTTATTGTTAATTTAAACATGAAGCATTTTGAATAAACAGAAATATTGAATCTCAAATTGCTTATTGTTTTCAATAGTCATAAGGCTTTGTCATATTGAAATGGCCAGGTATTTGGTGAGAAGTATACACAATATGTCATTAGAGCGTGCATGTACAGATATAAGAGATGGGGTGTTGGGTACTGTATGTATCATGCAAAGACTTTGTACTGATATTCGTTAAAGGGAATTTCTCTTGGGAGTAATCAGGGGCATACATGTAGCCAGTGATGTGTATACATACGAGGGGGGGGGGGGGGCTGCCAAGATTATGAGGCCCCCATAAGGTCCAAGGTGAAGGGGTGTTCAGAAGCATAGGGGTTGTACCAAATTTCATTCATTTTCCTGAAAGAAATTGCTATTTCACTTTCCCATTGAAAATGAAAGACTTGATTATATTGTTGTTACCACAAAGTAAACACTTGAACAATTGAGACTTATTGAAAGGAATAATGCATCAAGATTCTAGGCACTGTGAAAATGAAACTAATTATTAGGGCCCCGCAAGGATTTGCGGATGCCCTATAGTAATCACTCTGTCTGTCCATCTGTCTGTCTGTCTGTCTGTCTGTCTGTCATTGTTTTCTGTTTTTTTCTAATAACTTTTTTATGGTTGCCCAATCAAGTTAAAATTTGATATGGTAGTTCAGTAGGCAAAAATACATATTTTGATGCTAAGTTTGGTTCTCTATGTCTTCTGGTTTGGAGCTGGGGTGGTGGGGTAGATTCCTTAACTATGCATAAGAATGAATGGGCAACTTTTTTTATGGTTGCCCAATCAAGTTCAAATTTGGTATGGTAGTTCAGTAGGCAGAAATACATATTTTGATGCTAAGTTTGGTTCTCTATGTCCCCTGGTTTGGAGCTGGGGTGATGGGGTACATTCCCTAACTTTATATAAGAATGCATTGGCAAAGAGAGATAACTGCTGAAGATGTTCCCATTGTAAACTGAATGCTGCTATATGAGTCCCTTGGGATTTTTCCTCCTGAAGAAAATCCAGAGCATTATCTTTATCTGTCACATTGAGATGAATTACCACCTCTGTCTGCAAATGAAGTTTGTTTTGAAGTTAAGTCAATTTGGAATGCTATGAACACTCTGAAATGTGGATTTGAATATAAATTTTCATAATTTATTTTTGTTTAATTGTTATGATTTCATTGAATTCTAAAAACAAGAAATAGATTAAAAAAGATTTTTTGATTTACTTTTGTTACTTATGTTAATTAAAGAATATTATTAATTTTTAAGGTAGTTGTATAAAAACCCAATTCTATCATTAATACTGAAAAAGTTCTTAGGCCATTGCAAGTTTTTTCTCTGTTTAGCGTCCACCTATCTTTCAAAAACCTACCTACCTATTCACAAAAAACACACAAGCCAAAACATAAAACGCAGGCTTAAAAAGTCATAAAAATCAAACCCTTCAAATGATTTGATCTAACTAACCTGCTTTAATAGAAGAAATATCTATTCTTAAGCAAAAACAAGGGATTAAATGCTTAAAATACACCCAATATAAGTTACTGTACAGAATTATTTGGAGAAATTGACAAAATTCTAAAATTTCGACTAAATTAATCAATTTCAGGACTCCTGATTTTGTTTGTTTTTTCTGACATGGGGTGTCAAAAACCAAGGCGCACGCGGACGCTAAACGTAGAAATAACTTGGTATGGCCTTATTGTAACTTTAAAAGAAAATGATGAGAGAGGTACAATTAATCCCTTGGGATTAATTATCTAGCCTGCTGCAGAAAATTTAGTAGGCTTTTCTTTATCTGTCTTTAAGATTAATGAAAACCTTTGTCTGCAACTGCTGTTTGTTTGAAGTTAAGGTCAAGCCTTCATGATATTTGCATTCATTGAAGGCTGGATTTTATGTAACACAAGCTTCATAATTGTTTAAATATACATTCAATGTTAAGTCATTCTTTACTGCCTAATGTAAGTACAAGGATATTATTTTCAGGTTTTTGAATGTTCAGGAATTATCTGACAAACCAGGATCAGTGAAGAGGGGGGTGAAATTTTAAGAATACAGTTGCTGTTGCTTATTCTTCGTACATTTTGAATCATTCCGTAAGCTGCACCCTTTTAATTTTACCCCATGGCGGGGCCCTTGCTGACTGGTCAGTTTTCTAGTTGTCAAAGTTTTTCATGCCTCATTCTTGTTTGAAGGGAATTTGAATACAAGTTGACCAAAACGGTTTCACTTGCCACTTTTTAAGCCAAAGGTTCAAAGGATTTTTTTTATTGAAAGTCTGTCATTTTCTTTGTCATATAAACTTTTTACTTGTAATCCTCTTCTCCAAAACCACTGAGCCTATTTTAATCAAACTTGGCAGAGAGTACTGTAGGATGAATGGGATTCTACATTATCTAAATGAAGAGCTTTGTCTAATTATCTCCCCTCGGAAGAAGTTGTTACCTTTATTTTGAATAAACTTGAATCCCTTTTACCCAAGGATTCGCTAATGCCAATTTTTGTTGAAATTGCCATGCAGCCGGAAAAGAGGATGAAAATGTGAAAAGTTTTTGACAACAATGACAGAAAAGCTAGCTTGAGCCTCCGACGTAGGCTTCATGCATTATTCGAACCCCACCCCACACCCCTCCATAGCTCAATTTATTCACTTAAACACCCCTCCATATATATTACAAAATTTTTTGAAACCAACACAAATAATTATGGTGGACAGTCTTGTTTATATATATATATATATATATATTATATTTTTTTAATATGTAATAATAAATATGATTACATGTATATTTCATTGCAGTGAACTTGGTATTTTATTATTATTTTTTTGTTTCTTCATATTGTATTATTATTATTATATTATATGTAATGCTTATATTTCATTGTGAACTACCCTGGTATATCAGTACTTCAAATCTGAGAACTTTCAAGTGAGGATCAAGTCAATTTTGTATTGTTATAATCATGATTATATTATTTGTTTCTTAATTGTGTATATGCCCCCAGAGGGCCCTTGATTGGTGAATAAATGAATAAAAAAAAATGAAAAATATATTCTCATTATTTATGTAGCTGCACAGTTAAAATACCATGGAGTCAGCAGTTGACAACCATTCCGGGGTTGAGGAGTGGGGGGGGGGGGTGGTACATGTACAATATTTACTAGATTTAGGAGGATACTTTTCTCTGCAATGTAAGTCAATTTAAACGCGTTGGTTACATACTAGATTATTTTCATTTGATACAGAATGGGTAAAGAATTTATTTTTCTCAAATAATTTTGAAGATCCATTTTCCACTTTTAAATGTGATTTTAACAATAAATTATCGACCATTAAATTATTCACTAAAAGTAATAAATGGGGAGCGTTATTAAAATGACATTAGCGAAAAAAATAATTTGAAATAAAAAGTTTGTCCATTTACTTTGAAAATATAGATTGTCTGAGAGCGGGATATGTCCTCGCCTTATACATGCCCCATTCTTTCTCTTCCTGGCTCAATGCCGACGATATTTATTAATGAACCGTGTTAATAGAAATTATATGTAGATCCTATTTACCCATCAAATGCTACCCCAATCTTATTTTAATAATAACACAGAAATTTTTATTAAGTTGCTCAAGTCTGGGAGTAAAAGTTAACGGAAACAAACCAAGCATATACACAGGCAAAAGTGGCTCACATAAATTTCATGTGACACGAAAAACAAGACATGTGAAATTTATGTGAAAAATTCATGTGATTTTTACATAAATTTCATATGAATTTTACATGAAGAGCATATCACATTTCATGCAAAGAAAACTTCACATGAAAGTTAAAAAAAAAAAGATTGGTGTGAATATCATATAAACTTATATTCACATGATATTCACATGAAAATATATTTATATAATTTTCATAATAATAATAATTTTCACATAATTTTCAAATAAAAAGATAATCACATGAATATCACGTAAGCCACTTTTCCCTGTGTATGGTGAATTAAAATTGGTAAGCCCCCCCCCCAAAAAAAAGCAAACTTAAAAAATAAATGAATTACAAATAAAGCAAACAAATAAACAGAAGAAAATAAAGATATAAGACTGATAAATGGCTTTTATCCACGATGCAGAAAACATTCTTGCTTTATAGACCATGAACCCCACCCCATCCCTTTTCGTTTATTAAAAATGTGCTAAAACCATAGACCCTACCATATATTTTGTTGAATGACTAATAAATAGACCTTTTATAGTAATTCGGTTATTTTATAGCACAGAGTAGTCCCGTAAGCCTACAAACCATGATCAGTGAAGAGGGGTGGGGGGGGGGGGGTCATTCTCTATCCAGAGTTGTCGTTCCCGCTTCTCTCCCACATACACCTCTGTCAACGCTTGTTATACAAGATTCTTGGAAAAATTGTTTTTGATTAAAAGTTGTATTTATAATTGTGTGAAATAATATTTCTTATCGGAAAACATAATTTATTTTAATTTGTTACACCTTAAAAGAATTTTTTAATTAAGATTTTAATTTTTACTCCGCAAAATAGTTTCCTAAAATCTTTGAAAATAAGTCGTTCTGAGTGATTATAGATTTAAAATAGATAATGAATTACAGTGTATCATCTTTATCAATATTTACAGTAATTAATATCATTTAAATTTCGAATCTTCGCTGTTTAAAATTTGTACAAGAATCTTGTACAGATTAGCTTTGACAGATTTTGTTAGCGTTGCGAACAATTTCCTGGAAATATTTTTTGTTTTATTTAAGTGAATGAATTTAAAATTTTTTTTCCATTTAAACGTACGAAAGAATATTAAATCCGTTTAAACAAACCCCTTTTGTCCTTGGAAATGGCTTCATTCCGACACAAGCTTTTAAGGTTTTTGCAAGCTGTTTACTTTTTTGCAGTTTTTTGTTTGTAAAAAAAATTCTAAAGTTTGATTTGTTGGAGACCCCACCCCCCTCGCCCTCGGAATTTTTTATCTTTTCAAACAAGGAACCATTACTTTAAATATTTTGTTTGGAACGATTTC